CCCAGAAAAAACACCCCCCAGAAAAAAAGCCCAGGGAAAACACCCCCTCTCAAAAAACATCCCGCAAAAACACCCCCCCAGAAAACAGCCCTCCAGAAAACAGCTCCCCCAAAAAAAACAGCTCCCCCAAAAAAAACCTCCCCCAAAAAACACCCTCCAGAAAACACCCTCCAGAAAACAGCCCCCCAAAAACAGTCCCCCAGAAAACCTCCCCCAGAAAAAGTTTCCCCCAAAAAACAGCCCTCCAGAAAACGCTCTCCAAAAAACAGCCCTCCAAAAACAGCTCCTCCAAAAACAGCTCCTCCAGAAAAGCTCCTCCAGAAAACGCCCTCCAAAAACAGCCCCTCCAAAAAAACACTCCCCCCAGAAAACGCCCTCAAAAACAGCTCCCCAAAAACAGCTCCTCCAGAAAACAGCTCCTCCAGAAAAACAGCTCCTCCAAAAAACAGCTCCCAAAAACAGCCCCCTCCAGAAAAAGCCCCCCAAAAACAGCTCCTCCAAAAAAAGCTCCTCCAAAAACGCCCCTCCAGAAAACCCCCCCTCCAGAAAACAGCCCCTCCGGGAAACAGCCCCTCCGGAAACAGCCCCCCAGGAAACAGCCCCTCCAGAAAACACCCCCTCCAGAAAAACACCGCTCCAGAAAACAGCTCCCCCAAAAAACAGCTTTCCAGGAAACAGCCCCCCAAAAACAGTCCCTCCAAAAACACTCCTCCAGAAAACAGTCCCCCAAAAACATCCCTCCAAAAAAACCGTCCCTCAGAAAAAGCCCCCCGAAAAAATCCCCAAAAACAGATCCCCCCAAAAAAGATCCTCCAGGAAACGATCCCCCAAAACAGACCTCCAGGAAACAATCCCCCCAAAAACAGACCCCCAAAAAAGACCCTCCAGAAACAATCCCCCCAAAAAACAGATCCCCAAAAACAGATCCCCAAAAAACAATCCTCCAGAAAACAGACCCTCCAGAAAACGATCCCCAAAAACAGATCCTCCAAAAACAATCCCCCAGAAAACAATCCTCCGAAAACAGATCCTCCAAAACACCCTCCTCCAGGAAACAGCCCTCCAGGAAACAGCCCCTCCGGGAAAACAGCCCCTCCAGGAAAAACAGCCCCTCCAAGGAGACAGGGCCCCCCAGGAACAAGCCCTCCTAGAAACAGCCCCTCCAGAAACAGCCCCCCAGGAAACAGCCCCCCAGGAAACAGCCCTCCAGGAAACAGCCCCTCCAGAAACAGCCCCTCCAGAAACAGCCCCAGGAAACAGCCCCTCCAGGAAACAGCTCTCCAGAAAAACAGTCCCCCAGAAACAGTCCCTCCAGGAAACAGCTCCTCCAGGAAAACAGCTCCTCCAGAAACAGCTCCTCCAGGAAACAGCTCCTCCAGGAAAACAGCTCCTCCAGGAAACAGCTCCTCCAGGAAACAGCTCCTCCAGAAACAGCTCCTCCAGAAACAGCTCCTCCAGAAACAGCTCCTCCAGAAACAGCTCCCTCCAGAAACAGCTCCTCCAGAAAACAGCTCCTCCAGGAAAACAGCTCCTCCAGAAAACAGCTCCTCCAGGAAACAGCTCCTCCAGAAACAGTCCTCCAGGAAACAGCTCCTCCAGAAACAGCCCCTCCAGAAAACAGCTCCTCCAGAAAACAGCCCCTCCAGAAAACAGCTCCTCCAGAAAACAGCCCTCCAGAAAACAGCTCCTCCAGAAAACAGCCCCTCCAGAAAAACAGCTCCTCCAGAAAACAGCCCCTCCAGAAAACAGCCCCTCCAGAAAACAGCCCCTCCAGAAAACAGCCCCTCCAGAAAACAGCTCCAAGTAAAACAGCCCCTTCGGAAACAAGCCCTCCAGAAAACAGCCCCCCAAAAAAGAGCCGCCCAGAAAACAGCTCCTCCAGAAAACAGCTCTCCAGAGAAACAGCCCCCCAGAAAACGTCCTCCAGAAAACAGCTCCTCCAGAAAACAGTCCCTCCAGAAAACAGTCCCCTCCAGAAAACAGCCCCTCCAGAAAACAGCCCCACAAAATCCTCCGGGAATAAACTCAGACACAGACCCTGGAATACAGATTTTTCCCACAGACCTCCAGGAAACAGATCCCTCCAGAAAACAGCCCTCCAGAAAACAGATCCCTCCAAAAAAACAGATCCCCAGAAAACAGACTCTAGAAAAAGATCCCCCCAGAAAACAGTCCCCAGAAAAACCCAAAAACCCCCCAGAAAACAGAATCCCCAGAAAACCCTCCAGAAAACAGACCCCGAAAACAGCTCCCCCCAGAAAACTGCCCTCAGGAAACAGCTCCCCAGAAAAAGCCCCCAGGAAAACAGCCCCCAGGAAACAGCCCCTGAGAAAAGCGCCCCAGAAAACAGCCCCCTAGGAAACAGCTTCCAGAAAAAGTCCCCCCAAAACACAAAACAGCCCCTCAGGAAAACAGCTCCCCGGGAAACACCCCTCCGGGAAAATAAAACAGCCCCAGAAAACAGCCCTTCCAGAAACACCCCAGGAAACAGCGCTCGGGAAAACCCCCAGAAAACAGTCCCCCCAGGAAAACAGCCCCCTGTCAGCTTCAAAACATCCCCAAAGAAACAGCCCCCGGGAAAACCCTCCAGAAACAGCCCTCCAGGAAACAGCCCCCTCAGGAAAACTCCCCAGGAAACAGTCCCCCAGGAAAAGCCCCCAGAAAACAGCCCCAGGAAACAGCCCCTCAGAAAACAGCCCCCAGGAAAACAGCCCCTAGGAAACAGCTATCAGAAACAGTCCCCCCAAAAAACAGACCCCCAGAAAAACTCCCCAGAAAACAGGCCCCCAGAAAACAGCTCCAGAAAACAGCCCTCCCAGTAAACAGCGCTTCCAGAAAACCCCCAGAAAACAGCGCTTCCAGAAAACCCTCCCGAAAACAGCCCCAAGAAAACAAAAAACCCCCCAAACAGAAAAATATCCCCAAGAAAACAGCCCCCCCCCCAGAAAACGCCCCCAGAAAACGCTCCTCCAGAAAACAGCTCCTCCAGAAAACAGTCCTCCAGAAAACAGCCCCTCCAGAAAACAGCCCCTCCAGAAAACAGCCCCACAAAATCGCTCTGGAATAACTTCCCCCGGAAAACGTTTTCCCCCAGAAAACACCCCCCAAAAACCCCCCAGAAAACGCTCCTCCAAAAACACCCCCAGAAAACAGTTCCTCCAAAAAATCCCCTGAAAAACTCCCCAGAAAACACCCCCCAGAAAACACCCCAAAAAATGCTCGGGTAACGCCAGACACACACCCGGGAATTTTCTTTTTCCCCCACAGAAAAAAAAATCGGAGTCCTGGAAAAAAATCCCACCCCTGATAAACCCCCCCAAATGTAAAAGGGATGTTACATACTACCTCATTTCCGTTTTTCCCAAAATCTGGGCTCGTTCGCGTACCGTGAGTTTAAAATTCATTTAATCAGGTTGAAGTTTCCAGAGATTAGCGAAATAAAGAAAAATTTTGAGTCACCGAAAAATTTTCTTCTTGACCTAACTATAATTTTGCATCTTTTTTACAATTATGATTATTTTCAAAAGCAATCATTATAGTCACTATAGTCCGATTTTAATTTAGTCTAATTCAGAAGCAATTTTCGTTCTTTTCATATAAATGCAAAATTCACTCTAAATTTATACTGATCTATACACAAATAACCCGCACATAGAAGAAAGGAGCTTATGACGACGTTTCGGTCCGACTTGGACCAAAACGTCGTCGTAAGCTTCTCTCTTCTATGTGCGGGTTATTTGTGTATGGTTCCAGTCACGGTATTGTGCCTTTTTGTTATTTATACTGATCTAAATGGAACAGCTGGAATTGATCTCTTAACTTTTAATGGATAGTGAAACTAATTCATCCCAGTTCGTTTCCGTTAGTAATAACTTATTTGCAAACAGCATAATTGCTGGTATGAAATTAATACCGACACTAGAGATCATATCTGACACAGCTGTATCACTGTTGTTCTGTTGACAACAACAGCGCGGCGATGGAGTGTGTTTGGTTGTTGGCCTCGGAGGACGAGAGTCACTTTTGGGAGGAAAGTTACTCTTC